GTGTTTCTATCTCCAGCCATCAAAATTACAGCCTGCTATGGCTGTAGAAAACCAGACTTCATTTTGCTCCCTTTTTCCAGCTTTTGATCTTCAGCACTTCTCTCTGCAAGACAACCCTTAATGTGCTCATGAAGCTCTGACGACCTAACTAACTGACAGGCTGCCAACAAGCCCATAGGAGCAAAGCACTGCACTGAAGATGAAATTATTAATTCATTATGAATAGATCCAATATCTGAAGTCCCATCATGTAGGCATCATTTATGAGGAGCAAATAATCTTCCGTCATTAGTCTGAATAATGCCGCATCCTGTAGCAGCTTCACTGTACATAAATGTTACGTCGATGATGGGAGGTGTGTGTGTGTGTGTGTGTGTGTGTGTGTGTGTGTGTGTCAAACCTGCGATGGAGCTCCAAACAGCATTTCCCCGGAGACTCTGTTTCGAGGCCATATACACAGTGCTGATTAAGACACTGATCCTGGTATTGATGCGGCTATAAAATACAAGATACTTCACCAAGGATTGATCCCGGTCTTACCCTAACAGAAGACACTCTCACTTCTAGCATACAATATACGTGCACACATGTACACAGATGCTTACAAATGCATACACACACACGCACACACACACACACAACTAATGGATCGAGTTGTCCAGCTGTAGATCAATGAGAGACGAGGCTGGAAGTGACAGTCTTGAGTGAAAGGCCTGAAGCCAAGTTGCATTATCGGGGAATCTCCTGTCACACAGTATAGCCTTTACTGTCCATGCACTTATCATGTGTGTGAGCCTGACGTGTGTATGTACTGTAGAAATGTGAGGGTATGTATCTGCTCTTGAAGCCTGCACATGCCTGTGAGCTTCTTCACGTGTGTATTTTTTTAACTCAGTTGAAGTGTAGGTCGAGTGGTGGGCAGCACATACGTGTCCATGCAGAGATGTTGGCGATGTTCAGGTTTTAATCATGGCTGTGAGGTCTCTGACTGACTGGTCCTCTGTTCCTTGTTTCTTTCATCCTGTGTTTCTGTAATTAGTTGATTGACCTCTGCTGTCAAGGCCTAATTAGACATGGTAATTAAGGATTAGATGGGTCAGGAGGGAGGTGTGTGTGCATATTGGGGTTGGGGAGGTGGGTGGGGGTTAGTAGGTGTGCATGAAGTGGGCTGATAAGGGACGTGAAGGTCGATACGCTTGCTTTTAGTTTTAGGGGACAGGGATTTGTCTATTCTCCTTGGCGAGTAGCTGCCTTGTTTGCAAGATCAATTTAAGATGGATGCAAGATGAATGTAAACAATGTTAATTAAAAAGTATCACTGTGCTAAACCTCATCTGTTGACGACAGTGTGCTGACTAATGCAATATGGTTAAGAACTGCCCTATATTGTGGTAATATCCAGTGTTTGGAAATTGCTGAGGGAGGGATGAAGTCCCTCTTGGGGCTGCTGCACACTAGGGGATAATCTGGCCGATATTTTAAACCACATTCGCCCCTTTCCAACAATTGTGAAGCATTCCAGACTAGATTCCAGTCCAGGCTGATTATCTGCCCAAATAATCCTGAAGTGTGATCTTAGAGCTACTGGTCAGAGCCTCCCTGATCTCAAATCAATATCAATCAAACATGTTTGATATTTAGCATGATCGGCTCTGACACAAATCCATAGTAGCCAATGAGAGCAAGCTGACCAAAAACGTCACCAACGGCATGTTGCATATTTGTACAGCTGAGACTAAAACCAACAACACATTTACAAATAACTTGCAGCTCGTGCTGCAAAATGTATAACCCATGATTTCACGACATGTTTGTTTTTCTGCTGAAAGTATGCTTTTAAGTATGCAAGTTTTCCACACTCCAGTTCAAAAGGTACAGTAATGCACCTATATGGTTTTGTTTGCAAAGAAAGGAAGAAGAAAAATCACAAGTTCCGTTGAGATCCCAACTCTGGATTTGCCGTACTGGATTATTGTACGACTGTGAAATCATACAATCTACAAATTGTTAGTGTGTTTGGTCATACATTCTGGCCAAATCGTCTAGTGTGTGTTCTGAAGATTATATATTAAAAATCGGTTTAATCTGTCATTGTGTCTGTAGTCTCATGTTTTAAAATCGGTTAAAGGTTGAAAATCTTGGACATAGGGAATGTTAAGAAACCCTTTATGGTTGTCACCAGCTCATTTAGGACAACTAAATTTTAAAAAAGACTGTATGAGATTGCTAAACCTTGTTAAATTATAATTTGAAAGCTATACTTTTACTATTTAACAAACTGTATTTTACACTACAGAAGCAGGTCAGAGGCATTTCGAGAAAACAGACAGCACAATAGACCAGCATAGTGATTCAAGTAACAGCAATTACAAAAACAACAATAGAATCCACAAAAAGAGCCACCCAATGCATATTACAAAACAGCAAATGAGGAGGTAATATGAATTGCAAAGTACAAACAAAACACCTGACAAATGCACATCTTATGACAGTTTAAATAAATCTAGACCCACACATTCTGCTAAATTTTCACCAAATTAAATAAGGGGCCTTTATCCTGTTTAGTGCAGAGAAACCAAAGGATGGGCACGAGAGACCAGAACTCTGCAGCAAATTTTGCTATGGTGACACTGAGGCTGTCACACAGAGCACAGACAGCTTTGCAGCTTATGGAGTGCAAAGAGGGTGCGTTACAGCACCAGATAGGGTGCAGTGACAGAAAACCCCAGAACATCGCTCAGAGGGGGTGCCCATCACTTGCTGCTGCGCTGTGAGGGGTCGATGCACTTACTTCTCTTTCCTTGCATAATCCGTGGCAGTACTTTGCTATGTGTTTGCTCTAATGTTGTAGCAGGGAGGGAGATCTCTCAACGTAAAAGAAAAGGGTAGAGGGAAGAAAGAGAGGGAAGCTACGACTACCAATACAACAGTTACAAGGGGAAGAACAGTTAAAGGTGAGGGGGAGATGCAAGATGGAAATATAAGACTAAATAAATGTGAGCGCCCTACATTTATTAAGACCTGCACGAAATTGCTCATACATATTGGTCCCCTAAACATCCCTGATTTTGGTCATTATTCTGAGAGACCAACGGAAATGTTGAAAAATACCTAATCACACAATATTAAAGAAAGTGGAAAAAAAGGCAGAAAACACAAAGTCTTAAAAACTGAGGCACTGAATGTGAACCATGAAACACCAAGGAGCAGCTCTTCCTGTGAAACTGAGCAAAGATGGAGACATGGAGATAACTGATGATATGGCTGTAGTGTTTTGAAGTGAGGTGAGAGTAGGGTGACCTAGTTAGAGGAGAGTGACAGAGACGAGGAGACGAAGAGACGGGGAGAAGTGATGATAGAAAAAAATATTTCATAGTTGCTCCATCTGTCAAGTGGTTGGATGACATGCTCATGATGTTGAACAACAACTTTCTGATGTATTGCAGGTATTAGGTCTCATTATGTACAGCCTAATGCATTTTGCACATTAGCATTTAAAGCTAAATGCAAAGTAGCGCTGAGAATTTAGTTTTGCAGTTATTTGGTAATAAACAACAAATTGATGCTACTTGAAAAGGCAGGAGAATTACCAACATTGTCTTGAAGAGAGCATGAATATCTATGACATTTAATTTCAATCAACAAATCTACATTAGACAAATTATCCTTTAAGATTCATCCTTGTGTGTTTGTATAAAGTTTGTAGCAGTATGTTAGCATTGCTGAGGTTGCCCTTATGACAGTGCTTGAGGAAAGAACGCGTGGGAAGGCCAAACACTTTGTTCGGGAAAGTTCCTCCACCCATGGATGCCCTCTGGTTGAGAGGTCTGACTTTCTGCTGACTCCCTGCACACTACTCCTCACAATGAATGACATTGGAAAAAATCATTACTTTTGTTGTGAACCTATTCATTGTGATCAGTCACCGTTCCACTTTTTCCTCTCTGTTTTCTCCGATGTAATGCTCCTGCAGTTTTCAGTACACCTCACACTTTTCTGTGTGACCAGGGACTTAAAAATGCTAATAGTCAAACAAACTTTTTGTTTATCCATCCATCCATTATCGATACTGCTTGTACTTTAAGGGTCGCGGGGAGAGCTGGAGCAAATCCCAGCTGACATTGGGCGAAAGGCGGCGTACACAGAGCCAACTTACAGAGACAAACAACCATTCACACTCAAAATGAAACCTTTGGACAATTTAGAGTTGCAAAAGCAGGGTAATCAAACTGGGAACCTTATTGCTTGCTGTGAGGGGACAGTGTTAACCACTGCCCAACCATGCCACCCTCATCACTCTGCAATCATCTGACTCACCCATCGTTTCAAAACAGAGAAACAGATTAAACTATTGTAGCGATGTAAATGTATTCTTTCCATATTTCTGTTTTTTTCCAGTGAAGGTTGATCCACAGACGAATGCTACAATTCAAGAGAAATGTTGTGCTGTTACTGCAGGTCTAGTGTAGGGTAAATGCACATTCCAGTTTTCTTGGAGTGTGCACAAAAGACTAAATCAATTTTTCAATTCACAGTTGGACTTGAACAAGAAGTTAAAGAAAGGTAAAGGAGAAACACGAGTGTCAACAAAAGGAGGAAAAGAAAATAAAGTTTTGTTAAGACAAGACAGATGAAGACAAAGTGTGTCCCTGTGTTTGTGACAGTGTGCGACTGAATTTCTTTTTGTGACAACTCCGTCATCCTTGGCCTTCTTGACACTAACTCAAGAGACTAGCTTTGAAAGCATGCTGTATTGCACAGAGCAGTCAGGCCTGTCTCAAAACTGAGCATATTTGATTCCACTGTGAATCTTTTGAGAATAGCTGCCACGGAAAGTCCCTTGACCTTTTTTGTCACATATTTGTCAATTCATCTCTTTCAGCTTGGGCACATGCTTTGGAAAAGCAAGTGTTCCATGAGTTGGACTGAACTCATACATGTAAAATATAGACAATAGAAAATTCTGCTTTAGAGCAGTACTTTGCAAACATTGTACTCACTGTGCCTCTGTTCTATCTTCGGAGATGAACACTGAAGCCCGTTTGTTTGCTGGATCCACATGCATGCAAATAGAGAGGGCTGTGTGAGCACTGGTTCACTGGGGGGAGAAGAAAAGAAAAAAAATTACACACACATAAAAATACACATACATGCAACACAAGGGAGGGTTATAGTGGAGAGGAGAATAATGAAGCAATCCTTTGTTATATTCTAAATTTGGCTGCGGGTCTCCCAGCACAGGTAAGTGTTCACATCTCACCCTGTTTCTCCAGCATTCCCTGCTGTGCATAGACAAGTGTTATGCTCAATATTTCCCCCTTAAGGCTGTTTCTATTTGGGGTGCCAGGAATAATGTTACACACTCCATTATTTTTATAGGCCTTAGGCAGCTCACTCAGATCCGTTCACGAATATATTGACTTTCACTTTGCTGCATGATTGAGGCTTGTTTGCCTTGCTGCCGGTAGACAGCGCGGACAACCCGACTGTAACGGATGAGTTCAGGAAAAACTCCACCACATATAAACACACTTTCCGAGCAGCGCATAGTTGCAATGGTGATACTGTTGTACAACGGCTGATATTATCTCAGTCCACCGAGAGGAAATTTCAAGCATTAGTCTGTCTCTCTTTCTTACTCTGTCTCTCTGTGTAAAGAAATGGAGATTGATGCTGCAAATTCGATCAGGTTATGATGGAGAAACCCACAGAACTCGAAAGAGAAGAGGATACTATGTATTTTGGTTTGGTGTTAACATTCAGTTGTATGTTGCATGGTGCTTGCTTTTTTACACTTGAATACTGACTGACAGGCTAATGATAATCAACCTGCTAATCCATCTGTTTAGAAATGTGATTATTTTGCTGCTCTATCGCCTGTCTCCTGCAATATTACACCATCTTGCATCTCTGCTTGTTTAGTATGATGCATTTGAAAAAGTTGCATTAATATCAATTGACACACAGCTTGCACTTGTGTGGATTATCCAATCATACCAAAAAATGCCAGAGAGCCAGAGCCAAATCACTAACACTGCAGCCACGGCACTCTTCTGTATTTTCCTGCTTATCTGGATTCTGGTTTAAGAGCATGGCAAACTAAGATTCTGAGAATCCCAGACATTGTTTCTTCCTGGCCACATCTTCCAACTCCTTCTGGGGGATCCCAAGGTACAACAGTGCCAGATGGGATATAGCCTATAATCCCACAAGCATATTTGGGATGTGTCTAGGGTTTCCTGCCAGTTGTATGTGCCCATAATACCTCCACACTGAGGTGTAAGGGAGGCATCCTGATCTGACAGATGAATGCTCTCTCCTTTCGATGCAGGAACAACATTTTAACATCCAGCTCTTATCTGGTGCAAGCCTGACATGAATTCTTTAAGGGCAGGATGCACAATGAAAGAAGCATATGTGGGCTTTTTGCATAGTCAGTATAATATCTTGACCACTATCCAAAGTTCGTGACCATATGAGTGCCCTCATAATCTAATCAGATTTGTTCAGCTTCTGTCTGTTCCCAACAGTCTCTTAGCAGGACGTTACCAGGGGGACTCCTGGTACTCCAGACTGTTTCCACCTGCATCATGCTGCAAATCAATGTCAGAGACCACTTGCGCTTAATTACTACAAGTAACTATGCATGGCTTTTGATACAGATGTGTGTGTGTTTACATGCACACACTGCATAATTTTGCATATATTGCATATACTGTGGTCTCAGCCTGTGATGTATTAAAGCACATGCTCTTAATTATGGCGATGCTAACAAGAACGCTACCCCTGCTCGTGAGTGAATTGTCCCTGGTCACTCATTTCCTTCTGGGGAGCCAAACGCAAATATGTCTTTGCTCGTGTAGTGTGACACTGTCAACATTAGTCACATTTATTCACTGTGACACTGAAACCTCTGTTACATCAACCACTATGGCCCTTAAACCTCTGGGTAATGAGTAATTCTGCTAATGATGAGTGAAAGACACACACACACACACACACACACA